TAAGAATAATCCTTGGGAGGTGAGGAAGTGAGTTGCGAGGATAAATTCATTAATTTTTGTGAGGTGTCCAGACAGTGCCATGATGTGAACATGAGAAAAGCCTATCAATAAATAATAATCCAAACCTTCTTAAAAACTGGAAAATTGAACCTGGCATGTCAAAATTTTCCAGGAGATGGCCCCTTTAAATGTTTATGTTGCTTTCTCAGAGCTCCTCAAACTTCCCTACTTTTATTTGAATATCTATGGACCTCAATCCCATCTCCCCAGACTTTGGGACATGCACCATGCCACCACTAGCCTTCTTGCCCGTTCAAAGAAATGCGCAAATATCTCATTTGCCAATGCCCAGTGTGGCCAACTCTTGCCATTTTATCAGCAGTCTCATGTTATTTGATTTTTTTCTTAAAGCCTGAACTTCTAGAGTGGGGTTATTATACAGAATTCTTGGCTTTCATTTAAAAAACGCTTCTAGTCTTCATGGTTGCAGAGAAAAACTTAAAAACCAAGAACCTTAAAGACTCCAAAATCGGAAGGCAAATAGAAAGAATCTAATTTTTATTTTTTAAAATCTCATAATTTTTAAGCCAGTTAATGGGGAGCTCGTGAGTTTTGAACATTTGGGGTTGGTAATACTGAACTCCACTGGCTTTCTCTTAGTTCAGACAGGAGCCAGTTCAAAACTGACTTCCTTGTTTTAAAAATTCTCCATGAACTTGCTCCCACCCACCTGATAAACCCTGTCCCTCCCTGCTCAGCAAGCACTAGTTTCCTTTCTGTCCCTTCCCACATTCCTAGGTCTGGTGGTGCAAAAGCTTTCTTCTCCTCACTTTCCTGAATCTCTCTGCCTCATCTGCTCTCCATCTCCTCCTGTGTGTGCACGTAACTTCTCTGAAAATATCTCTTATCTCCCTAGTGCTTGCACCTCTTAATTTTTCTCCCCCTCTATTAGTGTTTATTATTTGCTTTTGTAACCCTATTCTTCAACTCTGGAAAGCATTTTGGGATACTTTGTGTGAAGGAAGTTATTTTAAAAGTTCTATTATCTAATTGTTATGCTGGAATATAGCAAAAAGACAAAATAGTAAGAATAGAGAGCACTAAGAAGGAAAAAAAACAGCTATAAAACAGAACATTTTAATGCTTCCAGAAAATGCTGTTATAATATCTTCTTCCATTGACAAAATGTCATCAGCACAAACCTGCAGTATGGGGAAGTAAAAGGCTGGCAGCTTTACTTTGTTAAAAATACTGAACTTTAAACTCCCAACTGAACACTGCTTTGTTTAACTATTTATGAGGCGCTGGAAAAATACTCTAGCAAGTTCAAAATTTAGGAAATTTAAAAACTCTAGCAAGTTTACAGTTGTGTGCGGGATACTTCAAACCCCTACCCGTGGAAGCTCAGTGCAGATCCAGGCCCAGAAAGTAGATTGTTGAGGATTGTAGGCAGTGCAGAGAGCATGGAACCTGTAGGGTTTGCTAGTAAACCAATATCTGAACTAGCCAGCAAAAGACTAATTTCTTCTGCACAAATGTTACATTAGCAACCAACCGGTGGCTGGAAGAGGGCTAAGATATTGGAGAGTCAGCAGACAACAAAAGGCCCAACGTAAAAGCGAACAGGTTCTAGTACTTCCAGCTTTAAGACTGGCAACCCAGAGCATGATGGAAAACCTTACACTAGTTTCAAAAGCTTTCATGAAAAGGGTTACTGAGGCTGTTACCCTGTATTCAGGAAAACTGAGAATAAATGTATACAGTATAGTTATACAAAAGTGATTTTGTTATGATGATATTGTGGAATTCAGTGTTTATGGTCTTTCACTGACTTGTGCAATAAATGTGATCAGTTTACCTCTTAATTTAACAATTCCATGGATGATGCATGAGCTAGAGTAAAATCCACCTCATTCTCCCCCAGTTGACTCTGCACTACTCACAAAAATAAAATAGCTTATTTTTTCCAATAAAGCAAACAGATATGATACACAGACCAACTGGATGAGCAAGAAGGTGCACTTTTTATATAGTTACCATTCTGACTACGACCTCTAAAGGAGATTCACTTTCCAGGAGGAGAAGTCTGCCCCAAAACAGCTTGATAAACCAACTTCTGAGTCCTGAATAGATGGTGTAGGATTATTTTTAATAATTTGTTGTTGAGGATTTTAATTTGAAGGTTTGTATCCTGTTTTCTTCTTCAAGACATTCTTCTTGCACTAGTATAAATGTATTTTGTGGCCAGTCTCAGGTATCTGATGTTTTCTGTTCAATTTGTATTCACCTCTAAGTTACACATTTCTCAACTGAGAGAGTATGTTAGAAAAAAATAGTATCTCTGTGCCCAGTGTAAAAAGCCTGCTGTACAGCTGTTGCATAAAGATATTTATAGCCACACTGCATACATTGACCATGGTCATAATTACATCATGTGCTGTTGTGAATACTGGTTGTTTAGTATTCATTATTGCAGTTAGTGATCCTGAGTTTTACTGGCCTTGTAGTTATTTCAAATACAAATTTACCACTCCCCCCACTAAACAGACATGGACATTGCTATATAGATGCTTGTACTTTTATTTTCATTTCCTCATATATTCAATCAACAATTGGAATCAAAATAAATCAATCCTTAGGCCACACTACTATGGAGCTCACATGATGTGGGGGAGGGATAGCTCAGTGGTTTGAGCATTGATGCCTGCTAAACCCAGGATTGTGAGTTAAATCCTTGAGGGGGCTATTTAGGGATCTGGGGCAAAAATTGGGGATTGGTCCTGCTTTGAACAGGGGGTCGGACTAGATGACCTCCTGAGGTCCCTTCCAACCCTGATATTCTATGATGCCATTTCAAAGTCCCTTCCTGTCCCATCACCATCACATCACATCACATCACCATCACATCACATCCAGCCATCATACTCAGAAAGGGCCAAAAAAGTGTCAACGTCTCTCCTCTTAAAAGCCACAGTCAGCTCTATAATCTCACAGAAGAAGAGGGAGAGTATTAGCCTCTATTTTGTAGGACTAGTTCCCAGGGACATTTTGCAGGGAACTTACATGTGGTTGGGAACAGGATACAGGACACTCAATAGCACCACTAAGGGGATGAACACAACATATGGGCTGTAGTGTGTGCCACCCTCTTGCTCCCCCTACATCAGGGTTTTTCTCAATTTATCTGCATAGGTACAAATCTGCTGGCCAAACCCTTAATCTTTTTCCAACCCATCCCCTTCTCACCCCCACCCGCAACTGTCTGTGGTCTTCTTCCTCTGCCCCTGCACTGCGGAAACTTGCCAGTTTGGGTGCCTTCTACTGCCCTGCCATGACTAGGGGGATGTCTCCACTCCTGTTTAGCACTGAGAACTTCTTAAGCAGAGGTGAGCCTGGACCAAAAGCCCGGATCTTAACACCCTGCACTTAGATGAAATTCCTATGTGGATCAAAACTTCACAGGTCAGGCCCATCTTTACTCTTAAGTATATTAAATATTAAAGTTAGTAACTTTTTAAACATAAAAAATTACAAACTTGGTACGTGACTGTTAATCACAAAGAACTAACAAGGGGCTGTGTTCAGGTCATCTTCACAAACCTATGCACAAGCGCTCCTACTATGCCATGGAGCTGGAATAACTCCTGCTGGATCTGGACTGTCGGGAGCAAGTCTTCCTGTTGGAGGGAGAGGCCAACTCTTACTACACATGATAAAGGAGCAGCTAATCCATAGCAAGAAGGCATAGATGGCAGTTTGCCCTGTCCAAAGCACAAGAGATGTAACAGACACCAGTGGTGTAAAGAGAGCTAAGTGGGAACTGGAAAAAGATCTGTTGCACATACAGTAAGGTATGGCGCCTGGACACAGCGGGCACTTTGGTCCTGATTCAAGAGAGCACTTAAGAACGTACTTAGGTCCCTCCTTGTTCAGGGCAGCACATAAGCATAGACTCCAATGGCACTTAAGCTGTCCTGAATAGAGATGCTATTCTTAAATCGGTGCCTGAAAGCGTGCGCAAGGCAACGATTTGCCAGGTACACTTGCCCGGCGTTCTCAGGGTACAATGTTCCCGTTTGGCTCTGGGAATTTAGCAGCAGCTAACAGATGTGTATGTTCTAAACCATATCGACAGAACCAAGCACAAAGTGGGAGTTGCCAGGCACTATCCTCTGTGTATTTAGTTCCCTAACGTCTGCCTGCAATGGGGATTGCGGTGTGGCCATCCCACAGGCAGAATGGATTGGTTATCTACTGCAATGGTGCCCATGCTCGCACAGGGGCTATGGGAACACAGAAAGCTCTGTGCAGTTCCTCTTATTCCAAGTCACTGGTTGGTGTGACTTTTCTGACCAAGGATCCTTGCTACCCAAGAAATAGGGTGTCTGGTGCCTGCATTCTCTGTCTCATCTCATTTTCCTGCCTATAAAGGTAAGAGCACTTCCTTCTATCTAGGGGGTGCAGAGGTGGCTGTGCATTCCTGTGGTGAAAGTGGATTACGGTTATTTCACTGGTTTCAGAGTAACAGCCATGTTAGTCTGTATCTGCAAAAAGAAAAGGAGGACTTGTGGCACTTTAGAGACTAACCAATTTATTTGAGCATAAGCTTTCATGAGCTACAGCTCACTTCATCTGTAGCTCACGAAAGCTTATGCTCAAATAAATTTGATGGTCTCTAAGGTGCCACAAGTCCTCCTTTTCTTTTTGTGGTTATTTCACTGCCTTCCTGGAACAATGTGCATTTGAACAGCCTCAGGGAATGCAAAAGCTCGGCATCTGTGCATCTCTAAACTGACCTGGGCCCAAAGGTCAAAGAAAACAGCCTGTAAATAATTAGCAAAATCCTCTAAACACTGAGAGCATATGTAAAATAAGAAGCATTTATTTCTTTCCCTCTTCCAAAGAAAAAAGATAAATGATAATAAAGAGCCAACAATCATAAAAATTAATCCTTTGGCAAAAGATATTTTTAAAAATTAAAACAAAAATGCTACATTGTTTGCTGACCTGTCTCCAGAAGTATTACTGGAAACAATCTCTTGCTACTTTCTTCATTGTTAGGTTTACATACTCTGTAATTGTAAACAAACAAGCCCGTTGTATGCTTTTAGATACTCTACATATAAAAAAAAATCAACAACAAATCATTAACTGAATGCAGAGTTAATAGCTTAAGAATATAAAGCATAAAATATTGCAACAGCAATAATAGAAAGGAAAAGATTTAAAGAGCATGGAACTATTACAACTAGTTTTGAGAGAGCTCAATGTGAAATCAACCAGAAAATGATCATTCCATGACTATAAATACCGAGCACTAAAACCAAAGCAAAGTCTCTCACATTGTGAAAATCCATAAATAAAAAAAACTTTCCCCAAAAGCATTTTAGGGGAAAGTATTTAATGTGGCTATAAAATAAAGAATTTGTTTTCTTTATATTAAGTGTAGCTTTGATTGACTCTGTAGAATTAAGTACTAATGTTATTGTAAGTAAAACACAAAGAACTGGAATTTGTGTTTGGCAAAAAATCAAGAAATAAGTGAGTCACAAAGTCTAAAGATGTGATATGCCTTTATATGGCTTAGTTAGGGTTACTTTTGATACACTGTAAAATGAAAGTATTCCTTACGCAAAGAAACAAAAATCTTTCCTCTTTAAATACACACAAAGAGAGAGGCCCACACTGCAGTGATCTGTATACATAAATTCTCTTTCCAAGTACAAACAGATTAACATATGTAACACATTTTAGGTTGGGGGTCAACATCTTGGATAGGCACGTCCGACTGATAAGTAAGTTCTCAAGTAGCTTGTAGTTTACTGTAAGTATATATCACCTCGTTTTATTTTATGTAACTTTTTAGAATGAATCAGTTCAATAACGATGGCTGTCTTTAAGCAGTGGTGCCAACTTCCCCAGTTCCCAAGGGGTGGTCAACCCCTGCTCCACCCCTGCTCCCCCTCTTCCCATCCCCACCCTGCCTCTTCCCACCCCTAACCCGTTTCACTCCCACCCCCGCCTCTTCCTGCCCCAGCTCCATCCCCTCCCTCCCCAACACCTCCTGCACACCGCTGAACAGCTGATTGTGGCGGATGAAAGGTGCTAGGAGGGGGAGGGGCTGATTGGCGGGACCCGCTGGTGGGCAGGAGGGCTGTGGGGTGAGGGGGAGCTGATCTGCAGGGCTGCTGATGAGTGCTGAGAACACACTATTTTTCTTCATGGGTGCTCCAGCTCTGAAGCACCCATGGAGTTGGAGCCTGTGTCTTTCAGACCTGTTGAGAAACTGACAGAACACAACCAGAGAGAGGCAGAACCCCATGCCAACGTTCACAATCGTATTATAAAAAGAACAGGACTACTTGTGGCACCTTAGAGACTAAGAAATTTATTAGAGCATAAGCTTTCATGGGCTACATCCCACTTCATCGGATGCATAGAATGGAACATATAGTAAGAAGATATATATAGAGAGAGATACATACATACATACACACACAGAGAGAGAGAGAGAGAGAGAGAAGGTGGAAGCTGCCATACAAACTGTAAGAGGCTAATTAATTAAGATGAGCTATTATCAGCAGGAGAAAAAAACCTTTTGTAGTGATAATCAAGATGACCCATTTAGACAGTTGACAAGAAGGTGTGAGGACATTTAACATGGGGAAATAGATTCAATATGTGTAATGACCCAGCCACTCCCAGTCTCTATTCAAACCCCAGTTAATGGTATCTAGTTTGCATATTAATTCAAGCTCAGCAGTTTCTCGTTGGAGTCTGTTTTTGAAGCTTGTCTGTTGCAAAATTGCCACCCTTAAGTCTTTTACTGAGTGGCCAGAGATGTTGAAGTGTTCTCCTACCGGTTTTTGAATGTTATGATTCCTGATGTCAGATTTGTGTCCATTTATTCTTTTGCGTAGAGACTGTCCAGTTTGGCCAATGTACATGGCAGAGGGGCACTGCTGGCACATGATGGCATATATCACATTGGTAGATGTGCAGGTGAACGAGCCCCTGATGGCGTGGCTAGTGTGATTAGGTCCTATGATGGTGTCACTTGAATAAATATGTGGACAGAGTTGGCATCGGGCTTTGTTGCAAGGATAGGTTCCTGGGTTAGTGTTTTTGTTGTGTGGTGTTTGGTTGCTGGAGAGTATTTGCCTCAGGTTGGGGGGCTGTCTGTGAGCGAGGACTGGTTTGTCTCCCAAGATCTGTGAGAGTGAGGGATCATTTTTCAGGATAGGTTGTAGATCGTTGATGATGCGCTGGAGAGGTTTTAGTATTATATATGATGTTTTACTTAAAGTCCGAGCTCCTGAAAACTAGACAAGAATACAAGAATCACAGCTTTCATTTAACAACAATAGTTGCAAAGAAAATCTGGAAAATGTGACCTAAGTGCCCCCTGAAAGTTTCAAAAACCAGTAAGGAAAGAAAAAGGACCACAAATTTACTATTTTTGAAGTCTCATATTTAAGCCCATCTCATACTTTTTGGGGGCCTGACTCATGATTTTTTTATCTTTAGGGTTGGCAGTACTGAGACCCGTACCAAAAGAGGAAGTAATAGCAACACAATGCTACTATCCAAGGTTCAGATCTTGTGTGGTGGTGACAGGGCCGGCTCCAGGCACCAGCGAAGGAAGCAGGTGCCTGGGGCGGCCAATAGAAAGGGGCAGCACTCTGTCAGTTATTGGGGCAGCACGTCCGGGTCTTCGGCAGCAATTAGGAGGTCCTTAATTCCCTGTCTTCCACTTCGGCAGCAGCTCAATCGAGGGGGGGGGGCAGGGCGAGTTCTTTCTTCTTTTTTTTTCCGCTGCTTGGGGCAGCAAAAAAGCGGAGCTGGCTCTGGGTGGTGAGCACACTCTCTTCCCTTTGAAGCTAACAGCAGTGGGGGGTGCTCAGCATCTTGTAAATTTGGGCACCAACAATTTACACTGGTAACACTGTACTGACCTTAGCAAAACAGCAGCCCACAAATTCCAGTTTGCTGAGCCTTTGGAATAGATCCAGTTTAATCTCAGTCTGCTAGCTCTCTCCCAAGCCATGATTCTCATTCAGACACAGGGTCATTTGTTCCATAGCAGTGGCAGGATTGGATATAATGGATACATAGAGTTGGATACATAGAGCATATCTGAGACACTGCAATCCATGTCTCCTTCCCAAGTCTCCCAGCAGTAATCAACCGGATAGATGACAAGATGGACTCCTGAGGCACCGTGCATAAGAGATCCCTATGGGGCAGAAGAGCAACTCCCCAGAACTATTTGCTGCGACATCCCATGTAAAAGAGGATCAAGTATATTTACAGGTTTCCAATACATGATCAGGTAATACCAGGACTAGAGCACTAACCAACAGGCTCTAGGCTATTTGGATGATGAAATACTTAACCAGTCTAAGTATGCACATGTATCACAGATGTAAGCAGTGTCAGGATGAGCTCCACCCTGACATCTGGTGGTGAGGTGTGGCAAGTTGTGGAAAAGAACTTCAGGGGCCAATCTCATTTGCATAGGCACACCCACCCCGCCTAGAATGAGGCCATAGCTGCCCAAATGGTCACTTTGGCTGCTGTGGGATCCCCAGTGTCTCTGTTATTGGGGCAGGAAGAATAAATTGTTATTATCCTGATTATGGGAACTGTGCTTGGAACTGTACTTGGCCTTTTGTTATGATGGAGGGACTCACCATCAACTAAGTAGCACTCGCTAGGCAAGGGTTCCAAAACTTTATGAATTGAGAGAGGCTGGGGACAAGTATTAATACTTGGTGGCATGAGCCCCTTGGTGAGGGCTTTACATGCTAATTGCACTTCCTCCTCTCGTCACTGTGGAATATCAGAGCTAATTTTGATTTCATTAGAAGTCTAGTTACAGACTGCTGAGCTCACTTTGAGCTAATAGTGCACCAGCACTGAGTCTCCCCTACTACAGGCTGAATTCACCAAAGAGCTGAACTGACTAAGAGCTGAAATCACTGAGCGTTGTGTTAAGTAGTGGGGGAGCCTGAAGATATATTGTGGAGCAGTTTATGGGACGGCTGGAGTGCCTTGGGGACAGGCTGGTGGAGCAGTTCATAGGACGGCAGGAGCTGCTGATGGGACGCGGAGCAGTTTGTGGCGATGGTGGGAGCTGCTTGTGGGCCACAGAGCGGAGCTGAGCAAAGTAGTTTGTGGGGCGGCTGGTGGAGCGGAGCAAAGGCCTATGGAGCTGTGGGGCGGTCAGCTTCAGATCATGTAAGGTGCTTCTTACCCCCACCCCCATCTCCATCCAGGTTGGGAGGTAAAGCTCTGCAGATAAACTTTTGAACTCTGGGGCTGCCCTGACCAGGGACAGAGACTTTTGGGTCATTGGACTTTTGGGACTTTGGGTGATTTGGGGTTGCTGGACTCAAGAACCAAAGGGAAAGGGCATGCCCCAATTTGCTTGGGGTGGGTTTTTTTGCTCATGGGTTATGTTATGAATCCTGTTGGTGGTGTTTCCCCAACATAATGCCACATTGTTTCTCTCTGTTATTAAAAGGCTTTTTGCTACACTCAGACTCTGTGCTTGCGAGAGGGGAAGTATTGCCTCTTGGAGGCGCCCAGCAGGGGTGGTATATATTTCTCCCAGGTCACTGGGTGGGGGCTCGAGCCAGTTTGCATTGTGTTATTGGAATGGATCCCCTAGATATTGAACCCGGCCCTTGTTGCTGCCGACTCTGACGGGCAGAAGGGTTACACAGATGTACCCACAAGTAATCAAGCAGCTAATTATCTTGATCTCAGAACCAATGCAGCTTCAGCATTTGATAAACCCAATTTGCCACCTGAAAATGATTGGGGATAAAATAAGGACTGAATTGTCTTTTCAGCATTCATGATCAACTGCATTTGCACGAAGAAAGGAAGTGAGGGAAGTAGAGAGAGGACAGCCACGAACCATTAAGAAACTGAGATGAAAGAGGAGCTACAACAGAAAATAGGCATCCTTAGTTTGTGCTGAGGACTCGTACTCAGTCTAATGGAACCATCTTTGAACTCAGTTCAAATAATCGACAAGTTGTGATGGATCAGGAGTGGCACACATAAACGAACATATAACTGTACCGTACCTCCTCAATGTGGTGTCCTGGTGTTCACATTCATTTCTCCTCGCTAGGCATCCAGCAACTACATTTTTGCTTCACAGGGACCATTGTCTGCAGCTGTTGGCACTAATCAGAATTTGAAATGTCAGTGGCAAGGAGGTACCGGTAGACAGCTTGTGGTTAAGACAGTTTTGGTTTGGTGGTGCTGTGTGTGGCGCTTTAGGAATCTAGGTGGATCGTTGTGATGTTGTGAATTCAAAAATGATGCCTCAGAAGTCTGTGCGGAGGATTACAGATAATTAAACTATTTTTCTTTTAGGCTTAAGGGATGTGTAACTGACTGTGTTCTCAGTGCAGATAACTGTAAATAATGTAGTGTATTCAATGAACGATTCCTTCCTCGTACAGCTCTGATGCTAAAATAAAATCCTACCAAGCCAGGACATCTCAGTTTTATTATTTTAAATAGAACAAGTGGAGGAAGGAAAGTGAATCACTCAGGATTATGAATCTTTCTGCTCCTGGTTACCTGATTAAATCCACCCTTGATTAGTAGCAACCAAACTCACTTTGCCATCTGATTGCTGTTCTGTGGCCTGTATGGAATAAATTGGTTCACTTTCTTCTGGACAGGTTGTAGAGAATAAGGAAGATAACATCTGTACCTCAGTTTACCTGCTTGAGATTATTCTGTCTGACTACATGGAGCTGAATCAAAAAGGGCTGTTAGAAAGAGCAAGCAGGAAACAAAACAATGGTCAGAGATAAAATATCTCTGGGTAAAAAACTTCAAGGGAGCTAAGGGAACAACGGGTAGGCCATTAATTGGAAAGGTGCTCTCTTTCCAGGCACCTGCCAAAGGTTTCACGACTATTTTGCCAAGGCCAGAGACTAGAGATCTAAAGGACCATAAACAGTTAAAAGCACCCCTCAGAAAAAAGAAAGGGGAAAGAGGATGGAGTTGCAAGCAGCTGCCTGAGAGGAGATGCTGACAAAGAGAGACAGAGGGGCAGAGTAGGCAAGAGGGCAGTTGGGTACACACCCTGTGGGATGAGTCTGAGGCAAGACTAAGGCATGCAGACTTTTGCTAGTTCTGTTTAGTAGCACTGTTTGTTTTAACCCTTTTCTCTGCTTGCTATGTACTTGTGGGTGAATAGACAAGGTGTGTGTTTGGAAGGAGCTATTTTGAGTTACTTTAGTCAGCTACTGGTCACAAGCTCCTGGAGGAAAGTTTCTTGCAGGTACCAAATACAGCTGAATCTGTCCTGCTAACATGATTGGAGATGGCGGGCTGCCACCCCAGGACCCAGTCTAAGAGTGGTAGACCCACACATGCCCTAGATCAGTCTCATGAGCCCTCCAGACCAACAAGAGCTATTTAACACAGGCAACAATAGGATTTATGTTTACAGGGACTGGAATAATTTAGTTGTGCAGCTAAACATCACCAGTTTCGCTGTAGTACTATTAACTAAAATTAATGGAATAATATATGGTTTCATATAGCGCTATTCATGCCAAGTTATTCAAGATGTCCATTGGCAAGAGAAGGTGATAAGATAATAACAATGAATAAATAATTAAACAGATTAGATTAGATTGATCCCATCAAAGCTTGAAAAATTCAGTGATCCACTCACCTGTGGCAAGTAGGAAGCTTTTCCGGGTGATGGACTTCAACTTCTGCAGAATTTCATCTTTTATTGAAAAAAAGACACCCTGCCCCCCAAACACCCTGGTTGGAAAGAGAACTTTCCACATGTGAACTGATAAAGTGCTGGCTTCATTAATGTATAAGTGTGTCTGCTGCTACTCACAAAACAGCTGCTCTGGGCAAAGTCTTGAGAACTCCAAGGATTCTGGGGCAGTTGAAGCAGGGTGAGCTCGAACCTGGGATATTTTTGGAGGGGAAAGGAAGAAAAAGGGAGAAAAACTTATGGGGTAAAGCAAGGAGCAGCTTCCCCCTCAGAGCGCTGGTGTGAGCAGGCCAAACAGGCGGCAGTGGAAATGGCTGGTGGAGTCTGGAGGGAGGCTGCTCAGAACTGGGCGAGAGAGATAAGCCAGTAGCAAGCAAGGCAGCAACTAGCAGCAGAAAAAAAGGATGTAGTAAGGGGGGAGCCAGTGGATAGGAGCCCTGGTAACAGAGACAACACATAACTGTGGATAGTGGGGTGTGGGCACAATTTAAAGTTTCTGGTTGTATGCAGCAGGGTTCAGGGCAGGGCATATAAACCCTGGCAGAAATCAGGGGGGCACCTGACCTCAGGTATCCCTCCCACGCATTGGCCACTGCCTGGCAGTGGCCAGAATGGCACCAGGAACAAAGCTGAGAGGAAGAAAGTTCAGGAGGGAGGGAGAGCAAAGACCGATAGTAGGAACAACAGGGGTAGCCACAAAAGGGACAGTCTCTAGAAAGAGGAAAGACAGTGGTAGAGGCGGAAAAGAGGGAAAGTTAAAGGAAGAACAGTACAGTTAAACAAGACGAAAAATAACCAAAGAGTCTCTAAGTAATCTAAGAAACTATTAGAAAAATGTTAGAAAATTGTGAGATGAGTAAAGAAAAATGAAACGTGAAGAAAATAAGCTGCAATTAAAGAAACTGTAATTAAAAAGAGAAGCAGACTTAAGTAATGAGGAAGTGAGCTGTAGTAGAAGAAAGAAAATAGCAAGGATTGTAAAACAAAACATCCGGACAGCATCTTAAGGTACACAAGATGAAGTGACAAGAATAGAGAAACTGCCAGAGACCAAAGGGACTGTAAGCCAGAAAGGAGCAGGGGGCGATAATTGTTCAGTCTGGAAGCCAACACATTGCATCAAGGAATATGTGAACTCAGAACAATCAACAAAGATTGCACAAGAGGAATCCTCAAGAGACAACTAAACACCCTAAGACCTTTTCCTCCAAACTCTGGGCTTACAGAGGCTGAAAAGTGAGAAACTGAAAAGTGAATGTACAGCAAAGGAGTTTATGTTCTAGTGCGTTCTATTTTCTAATTCAAAATTCTGTATTTCAGTAAATATAGTTACCTATAAAGTGAGTTTAATTAATATAACAGTTGTTAATATATAGTAGATACCCATAAAGCTACAGTAATTTACTGTGTATGCCTAAATGGCCATTCCTGCTTAAAACAACTAACTGATTTACTTGTGATTATTCCCCACTTAATTGATTTCTACTTCACCCCAACTGATTTGAGATAAAACACAATTTTGCCTCTCCTTATTGTTCTGATTCAGAACGCCCCCTCCATCGGGCTCATTACATTAGCCTCCTAGCAAAACGTCCTGTTATACTGTCCTATAGATATAAGTTTTCATCAGTTTCAGTAAGCCAAATTCAGATGTTAGTCTAATTCTAGAGGGAGTCTAAACTGATATAATTTAAGACTTGTCTACACAAGAAAATTGCACCAGTTTCATCTAAAGAAGTCTTCTGGAAATAAGTTTAAAGTGAAGAAGTGAGTCAGTCAAACTGAAATAAGACTGTCCATTCAGGAGTTTGCACCAGTTTAAAAGTCAGTTCAAGTTAAAAACTGATGCAATTTTCTTATGTAGACAAGGCCTTACATTTTCTTACAGCCCCGCACACTGAGTATCTTACATCAACTAATACTCCCTCTACATACACAGACTAATTTACTGAGGGTAAGATTTTTAAAAATATTTAGGTGCCTAGGTGCTTATTGGGGTTTCCAAAAGCACCTCGGCACCTAACTCCTATCGACGCATTTTTGTAAGTCCCGCGAGGCTCCTATCAGCATCTTCAGGCATCTCAATACATTTAAAAATCTGGCCCTTAGACTCACACCCGCTTACTATCATTTAATTTACAAACCTGTTTTCAACCACTTCTGAACTGGGCTGAGTCTAAGAGTATGTCTGCACTGCAATTAGACACCTGCAGCTGACCCATGCCACCGGTGTCAGGATAAGGGGCTGTTTATCTGTGGTGTAGATGTTCAGACTGAGACTGGAGCCCAGGTTCTAGGACCCTGCGAGGTGGGAGGGACCTAGACCTTGGGCTGCAGCATGAGCCGGAACATCTGCACCACAATTAAACAGCCCCACAAGCCCGAGTCAGCTGGCAGAGGCCAGCTGCAGATGTCTAGTTGCAATGTAAACATACCCCAACAGTTTTCAGAATAGCAGCCATGTTAGTCTGTATTCACAAAAAGAAAAGGAGGACTTGTGGCACCTTAGAGACTAACCAATTTATCTGAGCATAAGCTTTCGTGAGCTAAAGCTCACTTCATCGGATGCATTCAGTGGAAAATACAGTGAGGAGATTTATATACACACAGAACATGAAAAAATGGGTGTTATCATACACATTGTAAGGAGAGTGGTCACTTAAGATGAGCTATTACCAGCAGGAGAGCGGGGGGGTGGGTGGGGGAAGGGGGTCGCAAAAAGAAAAGGAGTATTTGCGGCTCCTTAGAGACTAACCAATTTATTTGAGCATAAGCTTTCGTGTGAAAGCATCTAAGTCTGAGTTAGCCACATGCCAGCAGCCAAGAAGCCACTGTGATGAATGTGGTATAGATGCTTATTGATTTGCATGGACTGGCAGACAAACAAATAGGAATTTGCAACTACTAGGGTTTTTAAGAATATGCAAGTTACAGGAGGTCTCCTCAGTTTTAGCTTACACTCTCTAACAGCTGCATTCAGCTACTCAGTATATAAGTTACACCAGCTGGAACTCTTTACACTCACTCACTTTGGGGCATGTGTGTAAGTACACCTAAGGGAGTCTAACTTACATAGTGCCTCTGAATTTGTCCCAGTATATTTAACACTACTAGTTAAAAATATCTCAATAGGTAACAGATGCATAAGTACACCTTGAGATTCCCCAGTGTTCTCCTGACACCCTGCAGAATATTTATCATGATTCAATAGACCCAAAAGCTCAACTTGCATTGGATGAGGAAGGTGGGTCTTATCCCTCTGCAGTAGATCCAGTTCAGAGTGGGAATAGTTATGGCATATCACCTTAACTACAGGCACATAAGCACAGGACAGACAGACGTTTCAACACTCTTGTCTAGGGATCCTGCCCTCAACACACATATTTGATGCTCATACATGGTCTCTTGGCTGCCTCTAGTCCTGCCCATCTGTTGGGATGGCATTACGCCAGCTGACAAGGTAGCATGCCAACTTTGCTAACACAAATGAGCCAAATAAAGATAGAATGTTTTAGATGTACTGACTTCATAATGCTACAAGTCAAGTTTCTTATGAAGAAAGTTCCTACCCATCTCCTCAGCCCCTCTCTACTAGAAATATTTTATATGTGATCTCTCCTATTTGTCATCGGTATTCTAACACACACACCCAAACCATGAATACTGAACACAACGTTTATGGGTATTCAAGGTTGCCAAACAAGGCAGGTGGCATTGTAGCAGACACACAGGTAGGCCCATTAAAAGTCCACAGAGGTTCCATGAGCCAAAGAAATCTTTGAGGGGGGTTCCCTCCAAATCTGCACAATTTTTGCAAAGGGTTTTTTCTTTGTTTCTTCTTCTGCTTGGCTTCACTCCCTGACATTTTAATAACAGCTCTAATCATAAGACACAACTGAGGTTTTTCAAAATATATTTATTAGCTTATTAAATAGAACAGCATTTTCTGGTATCGGAATAAGCACATACAGTCCATCAAAATCCTACAGCTCCTATCATGTTTCTACAAACCTCAGTGTAGAAGCAGTGCACATGGCCAGCACTATAAATATAAAACCCAATTTTACCCCCACTAGCATATTCCATTATTATCTTAAGAAACTTTGGTATTTTTGTACCCAAAAGGGCAAGAATTTTTTTCTTCCTGTAAACTAATTCTGGACAATTCTGCAGAAATCCTCAGGCAGACCCTACGTTTTCTGAATTTATGGATTTTCCATGCTTACGCATTATATTCTCAGCTCTTCAAATCCATTAATAACCATGCACAGGGTGTCAAAACATATGTTAGGAACAAATCCATCCTATTGTTAAGCACTGTGAAAACAATAAAATCAGAGGGTGAACCCATTCAAAGAAGTCCAGGTGGTAAAGTTTAAACACAAGTTTGCATTTGCCCTGTAAAGAGGGCAATTGGCCAAAACTACATTTCACAGAAAAATGAGAATTTGCACAAGAAACTTCACCGAGACAAGGTTGGAACACAGAAAAGAAATCAAATGGTGTAAACAAAATTTAGTTTCTAAATAGAAGTAGTATAGATTATCACCCAGTAGGTTAACATTATGTCCATCATAAACCAGAGCCTGGATAGCAAAGGCAGACATAGAACAAAAACGCGTGTTCTCCTTTCAAGAGTAAAAGACTGTGACAATGCTATCAACCTGATTCAGAGCCTCTTTGCTGGTTTTTTCTCACAATGCATGTTCTGTTCACTGATTAGTACATCATTAGCATGGACCACCTTTTGTGTATTGGCATGAGTGTAATGTCTTTGCATTCCCGGGCACTCTGGTGAATAGCATTGGGAAGGTACAGAAAAGAGAACAGTGTGAGCCCTCACAGCAACTGAGCTATGCAAGCTGAATCTCCTTTATTTCTGTATGTTTATGGAGTTCCCAGAAACTTTACATCGGTACTAGACAATGAGTCATCATCATTTTCTAATGCTTGGAAGTCACTTGAGGGAGATTATACCCTCCAGAGGTTAAGTTGTTGCCACTAAGTCATGGAGGCTGTACTGAAGGCTGTGCTTGCCTCACTCTCTTATCTGCCTGGGTCACTCAGATGGCACTCTGTTCTGGATATTGGGGCACAACTAAGTTGGACACAGGTAGAGCCAGACAATGCCGCCTACTTTTTAACCCAATAAACCCAAAACGAGCAGTTTTTTTACCCCCATGGAGATTCTGTTCTAAGAAGAGTAAATAAGTGAAGAACCAGCTATGACCTCAGATTCTGGGATTTTATTTCACTTAATGTCCAAGGAAGGGACCAGGCCCTACAATCATTCCCTGAAGT